TGATAATATGTCTAATAAATCTTAATCAAGAGTGATGACGACATTATTACATAGCAGCTGTTGATCTCGGGCTGCTCATACTCTGTACTACTTCAGAACCTTCATTTGATCTCTCTCTCATTTCTTAAGAGTATTTCATTTTGGTTTTTGTGTTATTGTGTTTTTTTTCTTCACCTTGATGGGATTTTTATAATGCAGTACAGGATTTATGTTGTGATAATAATAATAATAATAACAATAATATCAACAATAATTCACCACATCTATAACACTCCAGGATGGGGTTCTGCTTGACAGGTCACTCAAACACAATTTCAAGTCAACAAGAGAAAAAAAAACACGTTTAAAAACACAACGTAAAGAATACATTCCTAATATTAATTCAACCAGCTTTTAATTTCCCTCCCGGTAATATTATACGATAACTCAGATAAGAAAAGACTGGGGGGAAAAAATAGAATCAGACTTTATTAATAAAAACGACAATTCTCATCAAAATCAGCGAGGAAAAATAGCAACCACGGACCTTATCGTTAACGACAACTAGGCTAAAAAATGGTGTCATTATCGATAGTACCTGAAACGACAATTTTGTTTATATATCTTCTGTGACTAAGATGATCATTTATGACAACTATATCAAGATAAAACTCTACATCAATGGCAATTATTATATTAAGATCAACATCAATGGCATTTTTCTCAAGATCAAGAACAACTACAATAACAAGTATTCAAATCCTTATAACTTCAACGACAACTCTTACTATTAACAAATAATTCAACCTTAATAACAACGACGATGTACACCGATAAGAAACGACAAAGTTTATCGACGACAATAACGATAGAGTCAACAAAACCTTACTATTAATGACTATCTCAACGACCACTGTTACAAACCACAATCCTCCACGAACAACAACAATAAGCATCAAACGACGACAACCACAATAACTACTCAAACAACGACCACATCAAAATACCAACAACTCTTTATCAACAGCAACTACTATTCTTAACAATCACCATCAACTCTGAACAATCAACCAACATCCCGACACTCGAAAAAACGACAACCACCACAACATCCTCCCCCACCTTCCTTCTACACAACAACGACAACCACTACTCGATGGAACGACACACGGGCCCTGAAAAAAAAAAAATCGGTGCAGCCAAAGTCGGGCAACAATTAAGTTAATGTGTCATGCGGGTATCAACCTTTTCAATGTGGCACTTTTTTTACCATGCGGTGGAATAGCCGAAATTAAACTATCCATCACTCTAATGGAATTCTCATAAGCGGGAATAAAAACGAGAAAAGGTTATACTCGTATATTTCTTTCTTGGGGGAGGGGGAGGGAGGAGGGAGGGAGGGAGGGAGGAGGAGGAGGGGGAGGGAGGGAGGAGGGAGGGAGAGAGAGGGACCAATGATTGGCCTCCCCGTCTATCTCCCCAACACGCTCTCCCAGCTGGCCAGGGGGAGAGAGAGACAAGCTTTCCTGCCCGTGGGTATGATGAGTAGGTAGAGAGCCCCGTCGTGTGATGTCTTAATGAACATGCCCAGTATCCAAAGGGTAGTGGTGAGGGGAGGGGAGAGGAGGATGGAGAAGGGGAACAGGAGGAGGAGTGGGGAGAGGAGGAGGGAGAGGGTGCATGAGAAGCAGGAGAAAGAGAAGAGGAGAAAAGAGGAACAGGAGGAAGTCAGGGGAAGGGAGCAGGGGGAGAAGGGAGAGTAGCAAGAAGAAGAGAGGGAAGAGGAGAGAGGAGGAAGAGAGGGGGGAAAGAAACAAGAGGAAGAGATAAAAGAGGAACACGAGAGGAAGAGGAGGAGTTGGTCAGTTGGAGGAAGGAGGAGAGGAGGATGGGGGAGGAGAGGAGGAGAGGAGGAGAGGAGGAGGAAGGAGGAGGAGGAGGAAGGACCCCCACCCCCCCCTCCTTCACTGGTTGGGTGTGGGTCAGTCTCAACCTACTGCACGGGGATGTTGTAGGTCAGTGTGTCCCTCGTACCAATGGTTTCTCTTGAGTCCTAAAGGTGAGGAGGAGAAGGCGAAGGAAGAATGGGGTGGATGAGGAGGAAGGAGGGGGAGGAGGAGGAGGAACGAGGGGGAGGGAGGAACGAGGGAGGAGGAACGAGGGGGAGGAGGAGGAAAAAAGAGAGTAGGTGGAGGAGGGGGAAGACGAGAAATTGGAGAAAGGGGGAAGGAGGAGATATTGGAGGAGGAAAAGGAGGAAGAGGGGGGATATTGGAGGAAGGGATGGGTAAGAGGAGGAGGGGAAGGGAAGAACGGAGAAAGGGTAAAAGAAGGGATAGAATAGGAAGAGACGTGGAGAAGGAGAAGTAAAACCAGAGAAAGGGAAAATATGGGAAATAATGGAAAGGGAGAGGAGGAGGAGGAGTGCAGGAAAAAAGAACGTGAAAAGTGAAGCCCATTGGTGGACGAGGGTCGATCGCTGCTGCCCAAGTTAAAAAGCAGTTCCCTTACATGATGACACCACTAGTATACCCAGTGACCTGCAGATGGCGCTAGGGGTAGGGGTAAGGTAGAAATGTAAGGGAGGAGAGTGAAGGGTAGACTTAAGAGGAGAACAGCAGAGTATATGGAAGAGTAAAGACAGGGAAAGGAGACGTTACTTTGGGTTGGCTTGGGTTGGGTTGGCTTGGGTGCCTTCTCAGTAGTATAGAAAAGTGGAGGGTTCATACACAAGTATTTATTATTAGTCGAATATCGATTTTTTTTGTTTACATGTCATATTTTGTTTTACATATTGTTTATAAAGTACGACACACACACACACACACACACACACACACACACACACACACACACACACACACATCTTGTACCTTCCAGAAGACGAGACTATTAATTTATGAATGTTAATGGTGTTTGTGTGTCCCTACACTTGAGAAGCTGCAGGTTATATGAGGAAGGGAAGACGTGTGCAATTAAGGAAGTTCCATTGTCGCCAGCAACTGGGAATAATAAATATGAGGGAGCAGGATGTTGGTTCTGTGTGTGTGTGTGTGTGTGTGTGTGTGTGTGTTTCCTACTAGGCAAGAGTGACTCAGTTCTAACACAGGTAGGAGAGTAACAGCAGTTTCTTGTCAACATTAGTAGACTTGTAAAATTAACACCTCACTAAGGACAGAAGGAATTGGGGGTCGTGAGGCAGGAAAGACTGAACACTGACAAGAAGAGCTACGGTGGGTCTACATTCATCACCTCCCTGCCCCCCCCCTCCTCCCCCCACGCCTCCCTCGTCATTAAGGTGAGGACAGTACACCAGGTGAGGACAAACATGACCACTATAAAGGGTAAACTCGTAAGAAAATAAGATACCAACAAAGGCGGAGCTAAAAATATGATTTTTTTGCTACAAAATACAGATATGTGTTAGTTTTAAGTAAACCTGAGTTACGTTCTAGAATACTAATGTGGGATGAAAATGTAAATACAGAGTTGTTGAAGACAAAGAGGAGCTGAAAAGGATCTTTCTTGCCGTAGATGATTAATGTTTGAGGCTGTAAAAACTCAACGTTGCAACACCATCGTTTCCCCATAATGCAACTGACCCAAAGACTAAGAGTTGCTAAAGGTTAAAATAATTTACAAACAGTCGTCGACGGTACAACGCACACAAACACTACAACAATCAAAACATTAATTTAACGATTTTTTGGGTAATATCTATTTAACAAATGACAATCAGCAAATGAAATTAACCAGACCAAGTGGCACCACCGCGGCCACTATGTAAATAAGCATCAACAATAAGTTAATTACTTGTGTTAACGTTTCCTCTGCCCGAGTGCATTACATATACAACAGAAAGATTCACCACAAAAGACTCAAATGTCACAGACACAATAAATATTAATGACTTCCCCGATACAATCACCAAGATTATACTCACAACAACAGGTTCCCTCAACAAAAATGGGAAGCCACCCCTCCCTCCCTCCTTCCCTCCCTATCCCACCTCCCCCTCTCCTTCCTTCCCTCCCTATCCCACCCTCCCTCCGCTCATCTCACCTTCCCCACCTGCCCATCTCACCACTCACCACACTTCCCTATCCCCCCTCACTCTTCCACTTCGTCATCACACACCGGACACACAGTCAAAGAACATCTACTAACCCTAACTTTAAAATGCTGAATTTTAAAACGAAAGGAGAACAAGTGTTTATTTTTAATTACAACATAACACCAGCACGACCACATAACATGACCACAATAACACCACGAGTCGTCACAACACGTACAGGTAGGCAGGCAGGTAGGTAGGCAGCCGGAGATGAAGGAGTCAGCTGATTTATTAATTGTAATAAATAAGAGACATTAAACAAACGGGACACATTACAGCGAACTCGTGGTCAGGGAATGATTACTAATGTGTTCACGAGATGACGGCAAGTTCATTATTTTCTTATTGTCAGATAATTTAAGATGTACTTCGTGGAACATCTGAACCCGCTTAGAGTTCAGATGATGTATGTATGTATGTATGTATGTATGTATGTATGTATGTATGTACAGTATATATGTAGGTATGTATGTATGTATGTATGGAAGTATGTAGGTGTGTATGTATGTACAGTAGGCATGGATGTATGTATGTATGTATGTATGTATGTATGTATGTATGTATGTATGCATGTATGGAAGTATGAATGGAAGTATGTATGTATGTATGTATGTATATATGTATATATGTATGTATGTATGTAAGTATGTATTTTGTATGCATGTATGTATGTATGTAGGTATGTATGTATGTAGGCATGGATGTATGTATGTATGTATGTATGTATGTATGTGTGTATGTATGGAAGTATGAATGGAAGTATGTATGTATGTATGTATGTATGTATGTATGTATGTATGTATGTACGTATGTATGGAAGTATGAATGGAAGTATGTATGTATGTATGTATGTATGTATGTATGTATGTATGTATGTATCACATGAAACAGTAAGATGGACACTTTACCTGTCTAGGAACAGTTATCAACACATTAACACCCAACTTCCTCAGTGTAGGTTGGCGTCTCGACTGATGTTTACCTGTAACACAAGAACACACATCATTAGAATCTATGAACTAGTTAACCTAATTTATAATATGAAGCCACCCCTATGCACGATCTCTGTATATATATATATATATATATATATATATATATATATATATATATATATATATATATATAAATATATAAATAAACTACGATCCACACAAGATTACATCAAACTTTAAAGAAAATTGCCAATCAACTTGTGTGATTAAGCGTGAGCCAATTACCACATCTCATTCGAATTTTTGCTCTCTCTCTCTCTCTCTCTCTCTCTCTCTCTCTCTCTCTCTCTCACAGTGATGAAGGTCTGGGTAGTAATGAAGAGAGAGTCTCATCGCAGCTCAGCCAAAGGTTGCGATTAACATTATAAAGCTGACATTACCTACACCACCTGTGACACACAAACACATATATACACACACACACACACGCACATATATACACATACATACGGGTACGAATATATCATTATTGTTTGAAATTACCAAGTGTGTATGGGTGGTCTCCTAGTTGGTGAAGAAGAGAAGGAGGAGGATAGAAGAGGGAAGAGGAGGGGAGGAGAGAGGGAAGAGGAGGGGGAGGAGAGGGGGAGGAGAGGGGAAGGTGGGGAGGGGGGGGGAAGGTGGGGAGGGTGGGAAGGGGGGAGGGGGGTGGAAGTGGAGGGAGGGAGAAGGAGAAGGAAGAGGATGGAGAAATGGGGCAAAAGAAGGAGGTGGAAGGAGAGGGAAAGTACTATCAAGAAGCAGAAGAAAATTAATGCTGAGAGAGAGAGAGAGAGAGAGAGAGAGAGAGAGAGAGAGAGCCGTGTCAGCCGGGCCCCAGCGAGTGAGTAAATGCAATTGGCGTGACGTTCTTTTCTGCCGTTAATTTGCAGCCTAATACAAATTCAATTACTACAATTCATGTGGAAAATAAGTTACAGCGGGCGAGAGGGAGGGGAAGTGAGGGACCAGACCAGGAGGGGGGGGAAGGGGGGGAAGGAAAGGGACGAAGGATGGACAGAGAGAGAAAGGGGGAGGGAGGGGAAAGTGAGGGATCAGAGAGAGGGAGGAAGAAAGGGACGAGAGAGAGAGAGAGAGAGAGAGAGAGAGAGAGAGAGAGAGAGAGAGAGAGAGAGAGAGAGAGAGAGAGAGAGAGAGAGAGAGAGAGAGAGAGAGAGAGAGAGAGGAAACATTAAGCAAACAAAGGAAAACATTTGACAGGAAGACACAAAGTGATAAAAGTAGATACAAAAAATAACAACAATTAAAAGATAAAAGAGACAACAGCAAGAGAAGATAAAAAAATAAGGACGAAATGATGAAATGTAAATACCACAAAATACTTCAAATGAAAAACAAGAACTAAAGAGAAAAAAAAATATATGCACTGAAACACAAATATAATTCATCGGACAAAAAATATACTAAGGATATTAAATTAAATAACTCTCCCTCATGTGGAAAAATCACTCCAGGTTGGTTAGTCAGTCAGTCAAGTCAATATAGTAAGTTATAATGAGTAACAATATCAGAAAGAATCAAACTCAAGTAAGATAAACAAAACCTAGCATAAACTCCGTACCTCCCCCCCCCTCCCCCAATCAAAAAAAAAAATCCAAAATCTTCTTTCAGCCAATCAGAACAACAACTCCCAACTACAAAAACCAATTATAACAACACAGGCAAAGTACAGCTCATACTACGACCATCAGCACCAACACCACACACATGGAATAACTAGTACGTTAAAAGAACTTGATACCGCGATAACTGATCCTGAAGAGTTCAATATACGCCCGTAAGAGGATGATAGATGAAGTTTCTTTTGGTAGAGGCGAGTGTAAATTCCCTTAAATGTAATTACTCCACTCCCGGTAATGTTATAAATCCCTAGTCCCCCCAAAAATAAAATTAATGCTCCTTTAAATTTAATATCATCCTTACTATATCCTTTAAATACAATAAGAATGATGAATAGTATTACTTCAAGTTAAGGATAAGTATTATATTTAACGATGACATTACCACCTTTAAAGAATGTAATTATACTTAGGGTGTTTTCGCCGACCGTAAAACAGGTGGCCAGACCCTCGTTCATCAGGGCGAAACATTGTAATGATACATGACCCTTCAACCTGCATCAGCGTTATGAAATACACCAATTGTTATTACCCTCATTACTGCTATCAACAATTGTACTATTCACCATGACTTCATATCTGACGGTAACATTAAATCAGTATTATATCTGTTTACCTTATAATAATCTACAAACACCTACTGAAAAACAGGAAAAGCGGTACAGGAAGGAGAGGATATGAAACAACACGAGAAGAATTAACATGAGTAAAACCGCAAGATTATCAGAGATGACATCCGCTACCAGGGTAGATGAGTGACCACCGCGAACCTCTCGAGTCTGATATCTCGCTACACGGTTCACGCCTGACTAACACGAACCTCACATACAAGACGAACACATAAAACCTTTCGGTGTTACGAAAAACTTAGACAAACAGTCAATAAAGACAAACTCTCAGACTGCCTTAAAGACAACAGCAATAAACCACTGAAAAAAAAAGTGTCGATGAACAAAGAAAAGTCAACAGGGACAAAGAGTAGAGGCCGACAAAGACAAGACCATCTAGGACAGGCCACTGGATCAACAAGAACAATTTACAAGGCTAACAAGAAAAGCCTCTAAGAACAAGCCAAAAGGACAACAAGGATCCACTACTAGGACAAGTTGTGAGGAACAAGAAGGGGGGTGGAGGAGGGCGGCCGACGATGGATGCTGGACGCCGCCCCTTTGACGACGCTGGTTAATTGGGATGCGACGGTGTGGAGATGATGCAATCGAATATACATGATCCCTCACTGGCCTTTATTGTCGCGTGTGGTTGGGGGACGGGCCGAGGAGAGGGGGCGGGCTGAGGAGAGGGGGACGGGGGAGGAGAGGGAAGGAGGAGGGGACGGGCCGAGGAGGGGGCAGGTCGAGAAGGGAGGGGGCGGGCCGAGGAGGGGGGAACGGGCCGAGGAGTGGGAATGGTGGTAGTATAGTTGCAGGCTGGGGTGAGGAGCATAGGTGGGGAATAGGAGAGCACTGACGCTGCAGGGAGGTAGTGGATGGGGAGCTATGGGGAGAGGATTGGAGAAGGGAAGGGAATGAGGAGGATGGTCCAGGGAAGAGGAGAGGAGAGGAAGGAAGACAAAAGCGATGAAAGAAGAGGGTAATCAACGTTAAGGTGATGCTGATGGTACAAGATTCTGTGCTCCTTGCTTGCATTATTAACACCCTGTAGTTACCAAAGAGGAAAAACAAATCTCAGCAAGGATTCTCAACCTGATCTCCTTGGACACTGTCAATTACCTAGTAAAATCAACATGTAGTCTCCCACACACAACTTGGCCTTCCCTCCTCCTCCTCCTCCTGCCCTCATCAACTACAGATGAGCAAAAATTTACAGCCGTGAAGGTTTAAATCTTTCAGCAGACTGCGTGTGTGTGATGGGGGAGGAGAGCAACACCCTGCCTCAACATGTGTTCTCTCCAGGTATTTTCCATCTTCTCTCTCTCTCTCGACTCCTACCCCTTCCTCTAAGCCCTGTCTCAAGTTAGAAGAGATGACTGAAGAGCCACACTAGGTAAGCAGCAGACAAGATGAAGAGCCACACTAGGTAAGCAGGTGACAGGATGAAGAGCCACACTAATTAAGTAGTAGACAGGATGAAGAGCCACACTAGGTAGAAACTTGCTCGCCGGGTGGTCACTGTAACAATACGTTTTAGCGTCCTTAGTAACCACCTCACCTCCCCAAGCGCAGCCGCCTCCTCCCCCTGCCTCCAGCGAGACCCTTACTCCTCCACTACTCTGCCTGTCCTCCCTCCACTGCTGTCACAATCAAATCCAATGTCCTCCCTCCCAACCTTATTGCCATCCTTCCTCTCCCTCCTCCTCCTCCTCTCGCCCCTCCTAGTCGTCCACATCCCCCTCTACTCTTTTTTCTCTCTCTCACAGTAACGCCGCGCACCGTGAAGCCGGAAGGTCCCAGCTATGCTCTCTTGCTATGGATAAAATTCTAAACCTTTTCCTGACGTCGTCCTCACGTTTCCCCAACGATAGGCTCACAATAAGCCCCTCCAGCCCCTACACCTACCCCCTCCACACCGTCTACCAACACACCTGAGACCTTTCACCCCCACCACCACCTTTAACGAAATCCCAGGTCCCTCATCCTTGGGCACTGAGGCGTTCCACCGCATGATCCCTAACGTGTCCCACACAGCCTCCAACACCTGCTCCCTCCTGAGCCCCGTTACCTCCACCATCACCATATGATTGTGAGAGTCCCACTGGATCGCCCCTCTCCCTAAATGACATTACTCCTCCCTCCTCTTCATCTTCCTCCTTCTGCTCCCAAAGACACCCCCCCCTTCCCTGTCCCTCCGCCTTGCCCATTCCTTCCTCTTTCCCTCCATCATGAGGCATCTCCTCACAACTCTTCATTACTTTGTGTGTACGGAAATTTGAAAACCCGTTTCGCCAAATAGTTCCTTCACGGACGATTTCCCCGACCCAAACGTCAAATACTCTACACTTCCCCCCCCCCCCCCTCCCTCTTCAGCCTGCCTGCCGTATGGCTGTCAGCTCCTGCCATCCCTACCACCCCACTGCTTCCCTCTCCCCAGGTCAAAGGGAGAAGGGGGGGGGGTGATATATAAGAATGAAGGTTTGTTTGCTGATCAGTCAAAGGGGCTATTTTGATGATCAATGGGAAGGAAGGGGCTGTCTAGGAGGAAAAGGGGGCTGTTCTGGAGGAAAGGGGAGCTGTCATGGAGAGAAGGGGGATGTCTGAGAGGGAGGGGGGCTATCTGGGAGAGAAGGGGACTGTCTGCGTGCGTGTACTGAGAAAAGGTGAAGCTAAATGTTTGGACTATTTTGTAAAGAACTACATCTTCTTTTTGCAACAGGAATATGCACAGTACTATCCACCCAAATATAACCACTC